AGCAGGATCCTTTTTTACTGTGGATTGGAGATGGACTTCACCCAGATGCTTCCTTAAAATCACAGCCCATCATGTGGGAGATTTAGAAAAGCATTCTGAAGGCTTTCACTCCTAAAGGCTGGGTGAAAAGAGAAGCACTGTGAACTTCTGTGAAAAACTAGTAAGTCACAGGCTTCCAGATGCTTTGGGAATAGTTTTCATTGGAGGTAGGAAGAAAACACAGGCTGTGTTTTTAATTAATGACCACTGAGGTTCTGTGGTGTGCCAGCATGCCATAAAGGAGTCAGTAAAAGCTTATGTTACAAGGTCATTGAAAATAAAGTAGAAACATGGAAGAAAAGCTCCCCAGGCCATGTTTTTCTAAGCAAGCAGGGTGTAGGTGACTGAAGGAACAAAATGGCATTTCCTAGTGCTGTGCTTTAGTTTCTGAAATCACTCTACTGGGATTTTTTTTTGAGAACAGTAGAGTCCTCCTCAGAGGACTTAGACCAGGACTTAGAGTGGATGCTCTTTAGTAACATCAGCTGAGTGTTCAGATCTTTCTGCCTCAGAAAACTGATTGCCTGGCATTGTGTCATAAAATCTGTTTTCCATGACTTCCCAGTTGTAAGTTGGTTGTTTGGCAACACATTTATTAATTATCTGAGCTTGTCCATAGCAGTGGAAATGTTTTCAGTGAGCCATTCTGAATGAGAGAGTTATCTCAGGAAGCATGGCCAGGGTCCTGGTTTTATCCCCCTTAGGTGGTGACCTCACAGCAGGGCCATACCTTCTGTTTCTTAGAGTTGTGAATACTCCTCTCAAAAGCAGAAGTGCTGTTGGTGGACACTGAAAGGATTTCAGCTCCTCTTGTGCAGTGGATGCTTGTTGAAGCCCTGAGTCACTGGAGGCTTCTTGACTGTGGCAGCATGGTGTAATTCCAGGAGCTGGATGGGATGTGTGTTACTTTTCTCCCTGCTTACAGTGGGATTTGGATGGAAAGGAGAGCATGGAAGTAGTTAGGTTTGATGGCTTTGATCTAGGGAAATTAAATGTTAAATGTGGAAGGGAAGATGCTTCCTTTTCCCTTCTCATTTTACCTAGTGCCTGTTGCACATCCAAGCCCACATTTGTCCACCTGCTGAGTGCAAGGTGGTGTCAGTGGGGTATGATCATTTTACTGCTCTGGCCATTGATGCTGAGAAGTTGCTGATGCTGAGCATGTTTCTGTGGAAGGATGTGATACAATATTTAAAACCACTAATGCTGCATTTATTAATACAGTGTTGTAGAAGATTGGGTGCTGGGGTTGTTGTTTGGCTTCAGCTTTTAACATTTAGTTGACATTTAAAGGCAGGGCATGTATTTAATAGCTTGAGTTTCAATGACAGCAATTCAGTATTGTTAAGACAGTGATAGAAACAGATAAAAAACAGTTGAGCTGGGTTTTTTTCTTGTGCTTTGTGTTTTTTTCTCTGATGCACAAGGGTGCTTTTGATATTCTTTGAATAGAATCTTGTCTTCTAAATGTTAGTCATGTCTTAGTTTTAAATATTGTATTTTTTTAACACTGATAGGCTCAAAAAAACCCTTTGTGGCATATTGTTGGTTTTGTATTTGTTCTTTACTGTAATTTTTATGCTCTTTTCAGTGACATAGGTATTAATGGAGTGGATGGTATGGCAGTTTCCTTGATGAAGCACCACTGCTAGCACATTAAGGAGAGCAGTGGATTGTCAGATTGGAAGCTTACTGAGAATTTTAGTCAGGTGGAAAAAGTTCAGCTGTGCAGCTCAACAGCACTGAGTACAAACATGTCCATTGACAAAGCAGAGGAAACCCTGGTAACTCAGAAACCTATTGGAGAACAAATGCATGTGCAGAACTTTTCAATGTGTTGAGAATTTAAAACTATCAGATGTGACATGTTACCAGAGATCAAGGTTTAATAGGGGAAATCTGGTTTAGTAAACTTCAGAGCTCTTGAAAGATCAAGGTAAAAAGGACTTGGGAAGATAAATCAAGAGGGAGTTAATGATTTGAGAGAATGTTAGGGAAGAAATTTTTCAGAGCAGTGAAAGTCCACACCAGCTGGCAGTTGACAACTCTGAACCAATAGGAAATGAGTTAATATGCCATGAGTAATGGTTGTGGTTTCCTCCACTTAAAAATCTTGCTCAAAAACATAATATTGAAATGAGTTAACTTCCAGAAAAGTGGAGGATTGCTGGATGTTTTTCACTGAGTTGGATCCTTGGTGTTGTGGTTGCTTTAATTGTGAAATCAATGGCTAACTTGTAGTTCAATTGTTCTATAGCAACCTATGTTTCTTATTGTTGAATAAAGTAATTCATTTAGAATCTAAAAATATCCTCTCCCACTCCTTCCCAGTCCCCCAATCTATGTCTTGCTTGCTCTTCATCCTCAGGGTGGATATAAACAATGACAAAAAGATAGGTGCCAAAGAGATGCAACGCTGGATCATGGAGAAGACAGATGAACACTTCCAGGAAGCTGTGGAAGAGAATAAAATGCACTTCCGAGCTGTGGACCCCGATGGGGATGGTGAGAGGAATGATTCCTTCATCTCCAGCTGGCTTCTTAAGTCCATTGCTAGTAGCCAAAGCTCCCAGCTGCTCTTCAGAAAGGGAAAATGAGTTAACCAGAAGTTAATTGAGTGGTAGTTTTCATATTCCTGTTCATAAAGCTCAGTGTGAACCAAAAGTTTTCAGCACAGGCTGTTTTAAGTAACAAGAGCAACAGTTTGTCATTGAAGCACACTTTGTCTGAGAGATGGTTTTTTTCTTACAGGCCACGTGTCCTGGGATGAATATAAAATTAAATTTTTGGCAAGTAAGGGCTTTAATGAAAAAGAGATTGCAGAGAAGATCAGGAACAATGAAGAACTGAAAATAGATGAAGAAAGTAAGTGCAGACTGTTGGTGTTTGTTGGGTTTTCTTTTACTTTCCTAAAATCCAGATGTCAAAACTGTTTGTAGTGCAAGATGAATGTTTTAGTTGTTGTTCTGCTGCTACACAAATGTAGAGTGTGTAAGTCACAAAACTAGATATCCTTCCAGCTTCAATCTGGCTTCCCAACACTCATTTACTAAATATGTAAATATTTAACACTGAAAAATCTTGGTTGCTTATTTATTAGTGCCTGTTTGAATAGTTTTCACTTATTTATGTTTAACTATCTGCTAAAATTTGCCAGACTTGTGTTCTCTGTGGGCCACTCTATTCCTAATGGGGGAACCAGGTCCCTGGTTACTCCAAATGAAAGGTGGTCCCTGGTCTAAAATTGAGGAGGGGGGTGTGTGCTACCAAACAGGGCTGTGTTTAAATAGGTACAGTACTTAGGCACTGCAAAGCATGCTAGAAATCCATAGCAGAAGGTTGCCTAACAATTTTTTCATGTTTCACCCAAGTTCTCATTAAAGCAAGATTGATTCTTTAATGACCTTGATCATTTCTTCCCTATGATTTTTGGAGATTTCAGTTGAATCTGGTTGAAACCTGGCAGCTCTTAACAGAGTAATCTCCCCACTCACTCCCCTCCCCATCCAAAAGGGTTTAAGTTTCCTGTTAATTAAAACACCAAGCCTTAGCCTTTCCTTGCAGGAATTAGTCATTTAAAAGTGGGTTATGTTAGATTTTCCATTTATCAAAAAGCAACTGAAATGCAAATGGGCCTTTGCATTTTATGGCAGGGAAAACACCTGTGCAGTGTGGTTGAGTGCAGTTTACAGGAATGCTCATCAGATAAAAGATGTGCTGAATAAGGGAAGTGTGTACATAATCATTTTTCTACCTAGGTAACAAGCCTTTTTTGGGAAAATCAGAGTAGTTATCTGCCACTTCCTGAGGCTGATGGGCACAGCTTATTTTCATCCTCTAGTGCAGTGTGTCAAAGTGCTCTTTGTCTGTATAATAAAAAAACCCCTGAATGTGTGGATCTTAAAGCATGTTCTGAGCCTTATGCATGCTACAGTTTGGATGCCAGGCCAAAACTAGGCTCACAAATGTATTTAAATTATGCAGATAATGACAGTTCCAATGGATGACTGAGAGTTGAGTTTCACTTAAGACTAAGAAAGGTTGGCAAAGGAAGATTGACTCATGACTTGTAACATTTGGGGTTGGGTCCACTGGAAAACCTTAAGCAAGGTTTTGCTTAATCAAATCAATAATTTGATTGTTCTGTGTTTTCCTGTGTCCTTGGTAGAACTAAAACTTATCATGTCCAAACTTGTCTTAAGATTCATATTAAGACTCTGAAGAATTTCTTTACTCTTCACAGAAAAACATTCACAGGAGACTGAACTCTTAATTGTAACTATCAATTCAAAAATGTAGATTCAGCTGTTGGTTTTTTGCCTTCTTGGAGCTCAACAACCAAAAGCATGCAGAAGCTATTGAAGGCAGCTTTTAAAATTTTTCTAAAAATAGTTTCTTATGTCTTTCAGAGTGTTTTTTAGAACTTGTGAGCAGCCAATACCTCAGCTTTGTGTTTGTTAGTGCACTTTACAGCTAGCAGGGCGTGCTGAAGACAGTATTTTTTCCAGTGTGTCATTTAGAAAATGCCTACACCAGAAAAAAATGCTCTACACAGGTATTTTTTTTCCTGTTCAGTTATCTTCAGGACCTCTACGTGCACATGACACTTGTGTTGTGTGTTGCAGGGTGGTTTTTTTTTCTCTTCAGATGAGATGCTTGGGTTTAGCGGAAGCTCCCACAGATGGTGATTCTCAGTTGATCTCAGGAAACCTTCACTGAAGGGCTTGTCTGCAAGGTGTAAGATGAAATGAAAGAAGTGGAAATGTGATTTCAGTGCTGATTTATCTCTGTGCACGTGTGCTTCAACGTGCATTTGTTCCTTGCAGCAAGAATCTGTCCCTTTATTCCCTCTGGGTAGGCAAGTCTTTTAAATTCTCAGCCTTTGAGAGGGTGAAGGAGGAAGGGAGCAGCAGAGGCAGGGCAGAAATCTCTTCCTGGCTTTCCTAGTCTCCTGCTTTATGGCTTTGCTGATGCTGCCTTTCTAGGTGCTTTTTAAAGAACAGCTGTCCATTGAAATGTATTGTTCTTTGCTGTGGAAAATGGGCTTTTGCTTCTCTTTTTTATAATCTGTTTCATACATTTCTCACACATGGTTTTCTGAAAGGTGAGGGTGCTATCTGGAACTGCATTCTAGCTGGAGGAAGAATAACTCTGCACTCAAAGTTGTGTGCAGTGTGGCTAATTTGATCATTGCTTTGTGGTGATTCACTGTACTGGTGTGTTAACTCAGATCCTGTGAGCTCCAGGAGACCTGAAAAGAGTTCAAAACCACAGCGCAACACGTTTTGGTTCAGATAATGTGTTAAGAAATGCCACGTTGAAATAAAAGTTGAGTGTTGTAACACTGGAGTAATAAAACGTGTCCCTTTTGGTCACGTTTGGAACTGCTGTGTTGACAAAGTGTTTTTTTTTAACTTGTGGGAGACTTAAGTGCTGTCGAGCAGAATAAACCTCTGTAGAGCTGTTAACCAAAGCAGTGCCACAGTGATGCTGCACAGATAGAATTGGCTTTGTAGATGTAGTGATAGTTATTTAGTCTTAGAGAAAAACATGATAACCATAGAATGAACTCTTTAACACTTATTCTGTGGGTAGGGAAGGAATTGGTTGACTTCCTCTTGTTGTAGATCTTAACTGGGCGTGTGAGGGCACAACTGCCAGATGTGGGGATGGTGAATCTGGGGAGTATTTAGAATTAGAAGAATGTTTTTTTGCTATTTTAATGCGTGGGACTGGTTTGAAGTAGCGAAGAAAAATGATTAATTCAGAAGAAAGTTACTACTGGTATTCTGTGGGTAGTGGGCTTCAAAATAGGAACATAAGGAGGACAAGAAGTACTGAAGAAAGTTAGATTATTCATACCTCTTACCAGAACCAGCCACCAGTACTGGTAGTACAATACTTTTCACTTGGTGTGGTGAAGTTTTGATACAGATGTAGTGAAATCTTTATTTTCAGCTCCTGCTTTCAGTTTAGTTGTGAGATTAAAGGATCTTTCCTACTCTTTCAGCACAAACTAAATGAAACTAATTGCACTGTTTCCCCCTAGCACCCGCTTTCCCTGGGAGCTGAATTGTAAAATAACTGGCTCATAAATCATCCTTGTTGAAACAAAAGTGTAACAGGGGGAGGTATATTTTAAGAGTTACAATCAGACTGAATATGATAACTTAACATCTTTTTTTTTTTAAATTTCTAGCACAGGAAGTTTTAGATAACCTGAAGGACCGGTGGTACCAAGCTGACAACCCACCTCCTGATCTGTTACTGAATGAAGAAGAATTCTTGTCCTTCCTTCATCCAGAGCATAGCAGGGGAATGCTGAAGTTCATGGTGAAAGAAATCATCCGAGATTTGGGTATGCCAGTTTAAAACACATTTCTTGGGAGCTGGTTACTTGGAAAGCATTTCATTATGTACATGTTGTTAGGTCACTGCACTGTCAAGGGTCAGCCTGAAGTTTTGTCACATCTTGTGTTCTCTGTTTTACACATCTAATGTGATGAGCAGGAAATGCAAACTGTTAGCACAAAGGCTGGCATCTCTGTGGACTTGTCTGTGCATCCCTTGAGACTAAATTTAGTCTCTGGTTTTTAAAGAGCAGCACAACACACTGTCTGTTAGGAGGATTCCTAGGACTTCATGCAAAGATCATCAGCTGACACTACACTCTGAAGTGCTGCTGTGTTGCAGGGTCACTGTAGCAATAGCAGGAAAGGTTTGATGAATAACAAAGTATTATAAAATACATTGAATAGTGAAAAGAGAATAAAATGTTATAAAATATCTTGATGGTGTTCAGAGAGGAGGGCATCCCCCAGTACAACCACCACCTAAGAATCATCGTGACGTGCAGTCATGGAAAGAAATGGGTGAGGTTTTGAAGAAAACAATATATTCTTTAAAATTTATAAGTACTGGCACACATAAGTTTGCTCTCTAGTGAGTCAGTAGTGATGGACATTTAAAACTGCTAGAAGACCTGGGTTGAAAAAAAGAGAACTGTGACTTTGCTGGTTGTTAGCTTAATAAATACATGGAGTCTCCAGTGGTGCTTGTGTGTGATGGAAAGATTTGTGTAGCCTTCTATAAGGGTTACTTTGACTGAATTCTAATACAAGGGGAGACTGGATACAGCTGGAAGAAAGGTCCTGTTGAAAAATATGAAAAAATGAACAACAATTGAAAAAAAAAAACAAGTCCAGCTTGCAATATGCTGTTTTTCGGGTCCAGTAAAATGATTTTTTTAGCCTTTTAAAACATTACATGGTCTCCAAGATAACACAGAGTTTTCAGCTAACCAAGGTTATAAATAGTAGCTGTTCTTCTCTGCTAGAGTCAGGATTGTGCCAATGACATGAAAGAATTTCTCAGTTTTAATGGGCATGAAGCAAATACTTTCCACTTACTGTGTGCTTCTGTTGTAGATCAAGACGGAGATAAGAAACTCACCCTTTCAGAGTTCATCTCATTACCTGTTGGTACTGTAGAGAACCAGCAGGCTCAGGATATTGATGATGACTGGGTCAAAGACAGAAGGAAGGAGTTTGAGGACGTCATTGATGCTAACCATGATGGTATTGTCACAATGGAAGAGCTGGAGGTAAGTCTTGGTTCTAGTGTTTTTCATGGTGGGTTTTTTAATATAAGCTTGAAGCTGCTTTAGAGAATCTGAAATCCAAAAACATTTTGGATTAAGAGTATGGTCCATGTGTCTACTTTACAGAACTTTGGATTGTAGTATTCTGTAGTTCTTGCAGGTAGTGTTGTCAGGCCTTCTGTTGAAGAGGAGGGGGAGTTTTCTCAGCACAGCTGTTGCTCACAGGTTTGCTCTTAGGGCTTTTTTCCCACATAGATCCTTGTATGGATTTGGAGTGCAGGAAGGCAAGTCACAGGCTTTGTTAGGTACCCTGCTTAATGGGACAGTGACTCATTCTTTGAGTTACAAAAGGGGTAACTAATAACTTATGTATTCATTAAAAAAAAATTTAAAACCACAAAAAATTAAACAAACCCTCCAATGACCAGCAAACCCTGAGGCCCCAGCCTGGAAAATAACAGAGATCTCTTGTCTTTCAGAATCTTTTTCTTCTTTAAAAAAACCCAAATTATTATTTTCAAGTGTGAATTCTAGTTTGTGGCCTTTTTGGACATTGGTTTGCAGAACCAAGGCTTTCTTCTAACAATTCTGTCTGCAGAAGTGTCTGCCAAACAACACGAAATCTTTTGCACCCACCAATTGTGCCAGTTTTGTGGCCCATGGAAGAGGCTCGTGGCTCATTTCTGGCCTTTTTTTTCCCCCTTTTTAGGTGTAGGAATGTACTTTGACTGGCAGGATTCAAACTGCAGTGTAGGCAGTGTGAAAGGAGAGCCTCTAAAATAGTGGCTGCCTCCCTGAGACAGGATGAAGGCTGAAGTTCCTAACCTGCTCAGTATGCAAATATGTGGGTCTGAACAAGAGTGATGATATTGATAAACAGTTGCATTTTTGCACCCTCCAATTGTGCCAGTTTTGTGGCCCGTGGAAGAGGCTTGTGGCTCATTTCTGGCCTTTTTTTTCTCCCCTTTTTGGGTGTAGGAATGTACTTTGACTGGCAGGATTCAAACTGCAGTGTAGGCAGTGTGAAAGGAGAGCCTCTAAAATAGTGGCTGCCTCCCTGAGACAGGATGAAGGCTGAAGTTCCTAACCTGCTCAGTATGCAAATATGTGGGTCTGAACAAGAGTGATGATATTGATAAACAGTTGCATTGTGACCTAGACAATATTATGAGCTGGTTTACTGAGAAATGTATTTTTAAAATAGCAGTTTTGTCTGTGAAGCCTTTTAGATGTTTACACACAGGTCACATTTTCTGGTAAGAAATTGAAGATAATCTTGAGTCTTTTACATCACCAGCTAAAGTGCACTGCTTGAAAGCTTCTAATCTATTTTCAGTGAGGTGAAGGAGCAGAAAACTTTGTTTCTCAGACTTCTGACTTCTGTAACGTCTGTCTGGTGGTTTAAAATGGAAACAAGAAAGTTCTAAATCAAACATATTCTGAAAAGATTGTCTCCAGCAACAAGAGAATTTAGGTCATACAGCTGGGTAACGTGCCACCTTTTAATTTTGAATTGATATTTCTCAAAAAACCCACCAGATTTGAGAGTGAGTTGAGTTTGCCACCAAAATGTCAAAACCACTTTTATTGTAGACACTGGCATAAGCTGAGAAAATCTGAGTTTCTGTTAGAGCAGCCAAGGAGGCAGTGAGTGGAAAAATAGAGTGAGATGTAAGCCTGCTAAAAAGGATGTGCTAACACCTTTTTCCATGGCTCCTGTTCACTTTGGGGTGGCTTATGTTGGTCTCCAAATTCCTGAAGCTTACCCAGGCTCATGATTCTGATGTGTGGAAGTGTGTGATGCTTAGTGATTAAAAATTTTCTTGCTTGTTTTAGGAATACATGGATCCTATGAATGAATACAATGCCCTAAACGAAGCGAAGCAAATGATTGCAGTAGCAGATGAAAACCAAAACCATCACCTAGAGCTGGAGGAGATCCTGAAATACAGTGAATACTTCACAGGCAGCAAGCTGATGGACTATGCACGCAACGTCCACGAGGAGTTCTGATCCTGCTCCCTCTTCCAGAGCTCTGAAGCACTTTTTTGCTTTCAAGAAAAGAAAAAAAGGAGAAAAAAAAAAAATAATCAACTCCCAAACAGACAGAAAATTACTTTGCTGCTAACTGTGTTATATGCCTACAGTGTGTTGTCCTAGACTTAAACCCTCCCGTCCATAAGATCTGCAGCTCTCTTGCCTTCAGTGTGAGGGGGGAAATCAGCCCTTAGATCCTGGGGCATGTACTGCACCACCTCAGCTCACCCTGGTTTGTACAGTTCATCCAGCTGAAGTTCCAGCTGCTTTTGGCTCATCATCCTTGGTGGAGGCTTCTTCAATATTTAACTGCTCTGGTTGCCCTCCTAGCTGCTGCTCCGTGGAAGTCACAAATTAAGACTGAAAGGTGTTGGCTTTTGTAAAGGGGATTGTGGTTCAGATACCTGTGTGCTGACTTCATGAGAGTATCCATCTGTAGGGTGGTTGGCTGATCTTCCAGGTGTTGTTTTTTTATCCTCAACCTATTTATGTGTTGTTGAGAATTTAATGCAAGTTCTCCCTCCACCACTGAATGATCTTTAAGGAGGTGAGGGGGAGAACTGGTTATAGTGTGACTGGTTTTGTGTTGGCAGCCACTGGGAATGTGAGAGACTTGAGATGGATTATGGCTTAAAAAAAAACACATTTCCTTCTAAAATGAAACAATGAGAAAGGTTTCTTGGTGAACTTAAACACCTTGGAGAGAGCAATGGGGTCGACCTGAACGTATGATTGCTATTTAACTAAAATTCATTAAAACTAGTGTAATTATGCACCTCTGTGCAAACGGGTGACGCTGCTGAACTCCTGAAGGATGAAGCTGGGGGAAATACAGGCTTTGCTTTTGAACTGCTTTGGCCAGAGCAATGTGCAGTCAGCATTTGGGAAGCTTTTTAATCAGTCTGGTTTTGGGTAATCTCTGAAAGCATCTTGTGACACAAGGGTCATATCCACTACTGTCTAAAATAGAAAATATTATTTTTACTTTGGTTCCATCTTTACTGTAAAAACCCCTCTTTCTGAAGGGTTGCCTGAAAATCCAATTGAGATGTTATATTTGATTAAATTTATTCTCTTAATATAATGTAAATATAAGTATTGCTGTCTATTTCAGTATTCCCTCTCCTTTTTTTTTTTTTTAATGGTTAAATGACTTGTATAAGGTTTTTTTTATATATAAATCTTCATTAAATATTTTTCTCCATGCTTTGGAAATGTTGCCAGTTTTAGGTTTGTCACTGTGAGTGGGGGAAAAATTGAAACTCTTCAGAAGACAGACCCATTATGATTTTGAAAGAACTGTAAGAGAAGGATAAAGTCAGCTGATAATCTTGTGTTAAAAAGACTTTAGACCTTCTGCCACGTGGGCCCCCACTCCCTTCCACCTCTGCACCAGCTACACGTCCTTGCTTGGAGCATGGGGAGATTTTAGAATCTGGAAATGTTCAGAACAAAGTCTGATGTCAAAAAAATGTGTTGTCTGCTCAGAGGTCTGGGGGTTTTGCTTTGTCTTGGTTTTAATTAAGGCTTCATAAATATGCAGTGGGCTGCTTGGAACTGCCAGGGTATTACACAAGGGAGCATGCAGTTTGGCCACATGGCCTTTTGCAATCTAGTTAAGACAGAAATTTTAGCAATATTAGTTCCTAGCTGTATGAATGTCCTGACTGCTTTCATGTATTACACTCCAGCTGTTTGCACAATTCAGTTATTTAGGTACAATTTGGGTGGACAAGTTCTATCTTGTCACACCCGACGCTCAGAAGGCAGGTGCTGGTTGGTTTGCAGGATTCTGGGGCAGCTGAAACACAATGAATTTGGAACTTTAGCTCTCATTAGAGGCAAAGATTATGAATAGACCCTCTTCATTTTCTCATAACCTGAGCATGGAATCCCTTGAGAACCACAAGGTAACAGTATTTAGGCAGCAACTGAACACAGTGTTCATGCACTGGTGTTGCAGCATTTGCCTGAGAACTCTGAAACGTGAGGAGCAACTGCAGGGCATTAATTTTTAATGTATGCATGGAGCTCTGCACCTTAATGTGTTTATTTTCTCTGCCAGAAATCAGGATCCCATGTTAATTAACAGCTGTAGGGGTAAGTGGACTGCACAGTGAGATTTGGAGGGGTGTGATATTATTCCTGTCTTGGAATTTTAGAGGTTCACACTCTTCTAGTTTGTAGACTCAGTTATTTTTTTAAATTCTTTTAAGTATTTTTATATGCACTTAATCTTTCTCAGATTCTTGTAGGTCCTTTCCCATAGATGAGCCCTTACTTGCCTGTAATCCCTGAGGAATCCTAGTGACATTTAATTTAAGATCTTTCATTAAAGTACTCATAATGAGTTCCATGCTTGGTTTTCTGGTTTTGGTTTGGCTTTCTTTTTCCATGAACCCAAATGATCTGCCTACTGTTAACAGGACATGATACCTGAGTGCTACTGTCTCATTGACATGTTTCATCTGCCAGAGTTCAAAAACTTGTGTAGAACATTTAGGATAAGCATCTATAGTCTAAAAACTATTCATGTATATTAAATAAAAGCAGAGCAGCTTCTTACCTGTGGCTCAGCTCACCACTCTGAAGCTCTCCTCCACTACCCCAATCAGAGTAGCTGCATCCAGGCTGGTTTTTGGGAGCAGCCTGTCATCCCCATGGCATTGCCCAGCAGCATTTTGGGAGAGGTAAATTTGCCAGTGAGGTAGTTGTGGAGTAATGTGGGATATTTGTGTTCTCTGCCTGGTTTATTTATTTGCATTAATCTGGCAACATCAAGCCTGGTAACACTTAAGCCATATGTAAAAGTTGAATTCTCAAGATGATACCTGGCTAACTGCTTTTATTAACTGAGTGTTTAATTTGTGTTGAAGTATCCTTAACAAGGAGGTTATCAAAGCATCATCACTGCTCTAGTATTTGGGGAGGTTTTGGTTTAAATGGATATATCAGAAGTTTTAACCTTACCTAGTTTGTGACCATCACAGGAGTTCACATTTTCAGTTTCTTAATGAATAATAATTGACTTAGTGAGTAGGTAAAGTCAGTTACTGTTTGTGGAAGAGAACTGGGGGGAAAAGTCTGGTTAAATATTGCTGAGGGAATGACTGAGTCATGAGGCATAAAACCACCTCAGTGGCATTGGGGATGCTGCTGCAGTGGGAAGAGATTGGGATATTTGCTCCTCGCAGGTACTGAGTGTGAAGGGGGTTGAAGGGCAGCTGATAACAGTTTGCTTCCTCTGCCAGCTTTGCTCCTTTTTGGGAAGAATGGCTTGAAGGTGTAACTTCCACCCTTTTCCAAGGTTTTATCTACTACAAGGTTCTAATACTTCTATCTGCTTTGCAGATAGATGTAAATTGGCTTTATTACCTTAGTTAAAACACTCTGGCTGTGTTTTTTACCTCAGGTAAATAACACATATTTGATTACTGTAGGATGTCTTGTTTGCTTGGGCCTTTGCCAAAGACTTTCTCAAGTCTCTTAGAACTGGATGACCCAAAGTTTAGACCCTAGATCAGTAAGATCCAATTAGTAAAAATCTTAATAGGGAGAAAGTTAAACCCCCTAATTCCTAGTGTGATCCCTCTAGATGTGTGAGGTGGGGGCAGGACTGCAATGCCAGCATGTTCCTCAGCCTCCTCCAGGGCTCTCCTCTTGTTGCTGAGTGGAGAAGCCTCCTGGGGGGTTGATTCCAGACTCAGGGTGCTTCTGTGGAACTAAAGAGGCATCAGAGGTAGCTGGAGTGTGGATATTGCCTCCTCTGCTGGAAGGTTTTGTTTCTGTGGGAGCAGCTGCTAACACAAAGTCTCTTGAGGAGCCAGGAGCTTGTTTTATTTCAGCAGCAGTGCACAGAGTGTGGTATGAGGAGTCGTAGTGGTGACTGCAAACACTTATCTGGAGCTTGTGCTGGCTCCTGAGGGCAATAGCAAGCTGCCAATTTGTGGTTCCACACTCTCTCCCCAAGCAGATCAATGTGTTAAGAAGATTGGGGTTTATGCAGCGATAAAAGTCCCGGATCTACCCTTCCTGTGAGACCAAGGGGAGAGAATCTGTCTCTACTTTGCCTTTTAAGGAGCAAACCTGTGTGGACTCTGTTTCACTTCACCTATACCTTTCATCCATAAAGGTTTCTGGTGTTCCTTCCATTGCTGCAGTGCTCCTGTACAGGACCAAGACCACCCCTGCTGCTCCTGGTGTGCTTTAACACTGCAGAGAGGTATGTCCCTGGCCAGGGGCATTCTGTTTTCAGGCTGGGAATAACAATCCTTTCAGAATGCCATTCAGCACGCTGTCTTTCTGCCTTTATGAGGTTTTTTTTTAGTTGTGAATTGCACACAAAAAAAAAAGAGGAGGTTTGTGAGGTATGGGAAAAAGGATGGGGGCGTGGAGCACATGCTGGGAATTTCCCAGCAACTGACATAAGAATTTGTTCTGCTCACCAGCAGTTTAGAATCACTTCCCTGAGAGTTGGCCACTGCCAGGGTTTTGTGGGGACAGGAGGGGCTGCACGATGGTAGCTGTAGGTTTTCACTCCCATTTTTCTCCTGTTTTGTTCTTGCTGCTGGCAGTCACCTTTAGCCATTGCCTGGAACTGAAATGCAAAGAACACGAATATCCTTTTGGTAAAAAATGCTGCAAGGACTGTGCCCCTGGTAAGTACTTTTTGGCTGTAGTTTATAATTGCAAGCTGTAATATCTACCAGCTAATAACCCCTAGGTAGAAGTATAACATGGAGGAAGAACATTTGATGGGGAGGCTTTCCTATCAGTCTAGACTGACAGAGATTATTTCTGTAATGTATTAAATGTAAGAAATTTAGTGGCCCAGCTTTCTTAATGTTTCAATCTGGTGCATTTTCATCATGGGAGTGTTAGCTGAGCAAAGACAATATTTTATAGTGTTTGTTACTGTCCTTTACCCGTCGCAGAGAGCAGCACAGAAATCTTGCATAAGAATGGAAAATTTTAGGTTATTAAGTCTGTTGCTAAAGATGATTATTTTTTTTAAAGCTTCTTTTTATAGCAAGGTTTATACTACTTAAGATTTAATGGTTTATTTTAAGGAAAAAGAGACTTCATTCATAGAGATAAGCGAAGCGTAACTTGATGGGAGATGCATTTGTTTCCTCCTTTCTTATTGTAGAAGCTGAATGAGTCTGAATTTTGGGGTTTGCATATGCATAAGTGTGGTTTTTTTTCCACAGTCTGAATATCTCTCCACTATTGAGAAGCACAAATGTAAAATATCAAACCTCAGAGAGTGTAATAGTTGGGATTTCATTGTAGAAATGACTCATTGACGATGAGTAAACGGTCAACAGGTAATATTGCAGTCTGATTAATAATTAATATGAATTATTACAGTCTGATTCTGTTCAAGGGGCAATCCCTGTAACAAAAGGGATTATTTTTAGTGTGGTCAATACTGACTGGACTAAAAAAAAGGTATAAAGATGCACCCAGAGGGAGCATAGATCATGTCTGTAAATGCAGCTGCAACATAAAACCTTGCACAGGGTTTTCTGTGCATCTTTCAGAGTAGTTCCTTTCTCTTTTCATAATTAAGTCCACTACACAAAATTAATATGGTGTGGATTCTTGCAGCAGTATCTTATCTTCAAAGAAGTCAGCTGGAAGAAATTCAGCCTTTAAGATTTGAGGCAGTGTGTTGCATTATTCTCAAGACTTGTTTAAATCTGCCTGTTTCTGAATTCAGTTTAAAAATAAGCATACCTGGATGCAGATGCAGATAATCCTTTAAGGTTTTCTGTTCCTCTGTGTGCTGAAGGAACTTGTGTAAGGATTTTTTCGTTGTTAGCAAATCTCCTGCTGTTGGGGAAACATTTCTTCATCCTCTCTTCCTGCTTGTGTAGATAGTGAAAAAAGTAGAGGTGTGTTGCACATCTTGTGGTCACTGAAAATCTCCTTTATTTTGCCACGGATGGCACTCAATAAAATGCAGAGGAGATTAGAGCAAGAGCCTTGGTGCTCGTCGTTCACCTGCAGAGTGGGGAATTGGAGACTGAAAATGAAAGAAGCCATCTGAGAATAAGGATGTATTATGCTTTGGGTTGAATTGCATTATTTATCTCAGAAGGAAAGGCAGGATCTGTCATAAACCTGTTGTATTACACCAGAGATCTGACCTATTGCTATGCTAAAAACCTGGTTTTTTAGCCCTGACATTGGCTGCAAAGTGGGATGTCCAAGCCATAGGAAAAGGTTGCCTGGAGAAGTGATATTTGGAATCCACTGGGAGAGCAATTTGGAGCATTACCTTAACTCTCAGCAAGTCATCAGGCCCTTGCTAGCTCTTTTTAGCTGCTTACTTTACAGTGATGTCACAGGTCAAAATTTTTGGGGATTCTAGCACGTCTATGTCTGTTGAACATTTACAACCAGAGCTGTTCAGTGGAACTGTCACTTTCTGGGCACTCTTTCATTCTAATGCATGAAACTGAAGAGGGTTTCATTATAATTATTATGATAACTCTTGATTCCTCTTTCTCCTGGCCTTTGTTTTAGGTGAAAGGATGAGCCACCGCTGCACTGCAACAAGAGACACGGTCTGCATCCCCTGCCAGGATGAATACTTCAGCAGTGAGCACCACCACAGCTTCTGCCAGAGCTGTACAATCTGTGACACTGGTCAGTCACCTGGAGAGTACCTGGGGGGGCAATCAAGCTTTGCATGCTCCTCAAAGGTTGCCTGCCACAGGAGGCAACCAGGTTATCACTTCAGTAGCTGGTATCTCCTGGTTGGTCCCAGAGAGCCTTCAAAGGGAAGCAGGCTTGCAGTCACTGAAAATTGGTGTCTTCCAAATTGTTCCTGAACTATTCTCTGCAGTTGTTTCTACACACAGCAGCTAGGCATGGAGTAATTACTTTGTTTTCTTATTTCTTGCCCCTCCCTTGCCCTTTATTCTGTTGTTGCTAGGGAAGGGGAGCGTGGAAGTGAAGAAGTGTGAGAAGACCTCTGACAGGATTTGCAGGTGTCGTGCAGGTTACATGCCAGCTGCTGGGTGGACACCAGGAAGTGGTGAGTGTGTGATGTGCCAGACTCTCCAAACTCCCCCTTGAGAAGAGATGGTTGTTATTCCTAGGGTAAAACCTGCTGTCCTGAATCTCATGGATAGCTCCACGCAAGCGTCGCAGCAGGGTTGTTGTGCTGACTGTTGCTTTGTGATTCCTGAGCTGTCAGAAATGTTGATGTTCTCCTTGTTTAGCCATAATTCTCCATAATTAGCCAGGAGAGGAAACAGGAAGCCTTGCCACTTGCAGTCTAAAATGAACCCGTGAGCATATGGATGTTACTTCTGACCTCCTGACTATGGTTTTTAGAGGCTATGTGGATTTTGCTGGGTCTGTTTTACAAGCTATGAGTGAACTTACTGCACTTGCAGCCTAAAATGAACCCATGAGCATGTGGATGTTACTTCTGACCTCCTATGGTTTTTAGAGGCTATGTGGATTTTGCTGGGTCTGTTTTACAAGCTATGAGTGAACTTACTGTGTAGCTCTCATACAGTTATGTTGCTAACTGACCTCAAATTCTGCTGCTTTCTTTTTCCAGTATGTTCACCATGTCCTGAAGGGTCTTATTCCACAGGGGGAAATGAAAACTGTCAGCCTTGGACCAAGTAAGTAACACTGACCCAAACATGTTCAGAGCAGCATTTTGGGTTTACTTATGTAGCAGGTGATGCCCAAATGTTGGTGTGCAGAGTAAACCTGCAGTGGGTGCAATGAAATCATATTCCTCTTGACTCTGGGGGGAGCCTTGAGCACTCAGAGTACTGATCTGAAGCATCTGTCAGCCTTCCAACCCTTTCTCTCCTCACCTATGGCAGCAACAATCTTCTCAGCCTCATTTTTTAAAGGTCTGCAAGTTTTGTCTCTGTAGCAAAAGGTTCCCTTGCCAAGTGCAGCTGTGCTAAGAAAGTGTCTTATTTTTTCCCAGTAATACCTTCAGTTAGCTTAGTTGTTCTTCACCTATCTATAGAATCTAGGAAAGGTGAAACCTGAGTTTGTATTGATAAAAAAAAAAGGATTATAATGTACTTTTTTACTGTCCTTTTTCAATCTCTAGCTGCAGCAGTTTTGGGAAGAGTACTCTTCGAGCAGGGACAAAAACAAGTGATGCTATTTGCAGTGACCACGTCACACAACCAGTTACCCCTCGGAGTACAACACTGCCTTGGAATCTTTCCACCACTGACCACAAGAAGAATACCTCCACTGAAGTGTTCTCCCCATCCAGACCCAGCCTGGTTCCTTTCATTTGCCCCGACACAAAGAGCAGCCCCACAGAGACCAACTGGGGTGAGAAGAGGGAATGATCAAGTCTAGCCCCTCTATACTAGAGCTGAGCAGGAAGTTTTACCCCAAACTGATTTCACTGGAAATGAAATCACACTCCTTCTGAGAAGCCCTGCCTGTATTTTACACAATCCTTCAGTGAGGCACGCACAGGATTCCAGATTTCTTGATAGTCTGCTTGGCAGCTGGGACTTTTGTGCTTTGTGGTTCAGGGGTACTTTGGGAGTTCTAAGTTCCTCCTTTTGAAGCTGAAAACTCCAGCTAAAACCATGAATGTTCTTTAAGTGTATAAAACCATGAATGTTCTTTAAGTGTATTCTTCTTCTGTTCTGCTTCCAGGGTCTTTATCACTCATCCTTATTTGTCTGATCCTGCTCCTGGTGAGTGGAATGGCCATCCTCCTGTTGATTATCCAAGCAGCCAAAAAACAGACCAAGAGGAGGCCTTGTAGAAACAACAATGGAGGAGGTAAGGTTGGGTTTATAGGAAAGAGAATAATCATGTCCCCTTATCTGACCTTTAATTGTTTCAATTGTAATGAAGCCTGCCTGGCTAAGTAACACAGTGTCATCTGCAGTTAATGCCAGTGGTTGATCCTGATGTACTGTAGGTCATAATGGCTCAAAGTTTCATTCTTACAGAGCACACTCTCTGATTTAAACTCCTGGCTTTTCCCCCTCTTAGTCCTTGCCAAAATGATGTATTGATCTTGTGCAGGGAATTCTTTCCAGTACAGAGAGGATCTAGAATCAACAGTCATTTAAAGAGTATATTGTGAACTTTTTTGCCTATATATATATTCTTTTTCTATTCTGTCTTTCAGAAGAAAAGAGCTGTCGAATTCCTGTCCAGGAAGAACAAATTGACTCCAATTCTAGTCTCATCAAAAACTGACTCCACTTTACTGTTTCCTGCATCTCTGAGCCAGTCAATGGTAAAATGGAACGTGACAGAGCATTCTGTGGCTGTGTGTGTGGCTGTGTGTAACTGTTTAATTGCACTTCGGTGCCTTTGGCTCTCGTGGAGTGGCCCTTTTGGCACTGGGACCCACAGGAGTAGCTGTTCCTGGTGGAATCCTGTGATTCTTTCTCTCAGGCAGATCCTGTGCACAGCATCCCTGTTGCCAGGACTGAATTGATGCAGTCCTCCATGCATTTCTAGCCAGTTCTGCATGTTGTGATAGGCAGTTGTCTTTGGACTGAAGACAGTGTTGCTGAAGCTGTTAAGAGCTGATCATGGAGCAGACAGAAAACCAGGGAAATCAAAAGACCTGCTCTGTGATTGAGTTTGTATCTTGGCTTACAATTCTGAGATGCTGAGCAGGGCATGTCTCTCTGTTCTCAGTGCAGGTGTCTCCAGTGTTTCAGTCTAGTTCCCAAATGAATTCTTCTCACTTTAGGTGGAGAATCTCCCATGATGTACCCAGCCAGCTTCCTTTGTGCTTCCATTTCCTTCAAGTTACTACTTCTTGGTCAAGTTGAGTGGCAGGTCCGCTGTGCCTTCAGAGACTGTTGTCGTTGCTGGTAACTCTGGTGCTGGCCAAGCACCATAACAGCACCAGAATTCTGCTGCTAGCTCTTCAGTGACTGTGGAGAGATGTTCAATGCCACTTCTCTCTTGTCTGCATCTCTTCAAGCATACCCCATGAGAAAATGCCACCTCAACATGTTGAGCAGTATTCCCATTGTCAGGCCAACAAGTGGAATTCCTCATGATCACCAGGTAGCTCCAGATCTCCAAGTGTTTGCAAACCTCCATGGAGACCTTTCTGTGTGGAAAGTAGAATTGCCAGAGCATCACTAGTGGAAACTGTAGCTCAGAACAGGGGGAAAGGCAGAGTACCACGTGCCTGCACTGTAAACTTCAGAAGCTGCTGTGTGTAGCTGATGTTTTATCTCTAAGCCCTTTGCAACCAACCCTTTGTGCTTCCTCTTGGTGGACATCCTGTCGTGCTGAGTACCCAGGTGTGGCTTCAGCAAGGCTGCTTCAGTCAAGCTTGGACATCTCCACAATAAAATTGTTTAGCTTGAAACCACTTTTGTAGGACTTGATTGCTTGCTGTGGATGTAGAGAGAAACCCACAAGCAAGTTTGGTTCCAGCCAGTGCTCTGGATTTGGGGAAAGTGTTTGTGTCTTAGGAGCATGTATGTGGACACTCAAGAGTTTTTCTGCTGATTGAATGATTATTTTGTGATGGTTTAGAAAGAGTAAGTCCTTTGATGCTCTCTGTTGGTAAGAGGCAAGAGCTGAACTCTTAAAACAGTGCTGGCTGGGCTTTACATCTGAGCAGAGATCCTGTCACAGTGGACAGATGCCTAACCCATGTTCTGACCATTCACCTGGACGATGACCTGGTTCGTGGAACCCGTGTTCAGAACTGAAGAAGTGATCTTGGTTGGGTCTCTGTGCAGTTAAAATACCTGGTTCTTTGCCTGGACAAAATGAATTTTACTTCTGTAATGTTTTTTTTTGTGAGTTCACTGGTCTGTAGTTTTGGAAAGCATTCAGGTTTTAGAGAGCAAGTTCAAAACCTGAAGCGTCCGGGAGAAACCTGAAGTGTCCTTGTGAATAGCTTTTGATGTAATTTAAATACCTCAGTGTAAAAATTTAAGAAGTAAATTGAAATTTATATAACTTAGAAGTGTTTTTCACTTCCAATAGAACTCCTCAGGAGGCAGCTCATTAGAGACAGGGATTTTATATACACAGTACCAAAGCATATGCCAAAATATGCCATGGGAAATGTATTCAAGAATACAACTGGTGTCCAGAAACATGTTTTTAAACATATGCTTTCTTATATGTCATACATATGGTGTACTTAGCAATGATTCCCTATTTTGAAGTGCATATACAATGTATATAAATGTTTGTATTATATACAAAGTGTGATAGTGACTTCTTGAAATAAATGGTGGTAGCAGCTAGATGCAGGTGTATGATGTGTGTGATTGGGGGGCACAAAGGAGCAAAGAGGGACTCCAGAAAGCAGTGGTCAGGCCTGTGGTGTGCCAGTTCACATGCTGCCTTGCCTCTGGCCTCCTGTGGGACCTGGGAAAGCTGTGGGTAGTGGTTTTCTTTGCAGATCTGGCCTGGCAGCAGCTCTGACCTGAGAGCTGCTGGGGCGTTCGAGGTGGTGGGGCTCAGCACCTTCACAAACATAAAGCCCCTGCTGGGAATGTTGAGGGCTTTGAGGAGGTGCTGTGGCCTCGACGCTGTCACCTCACAGGAAACTGGATGGCAAAGTGCTGTGGATAGATCTGAGAGGTGCATTCCAGGGAATGCCTGAGACCTTCTCAGAAAAGATGCTTATCGAGCTCGTAGGCACGTACCCCACTTCCCTCTAACTGAGCTCTCTGGGCTTGTGGCTTCCCTGATGAGAAGAGCCCACAGGAGCAGACGAGCTGTTGGCTTGGCAGAAGTGCTGCAGTTGGCAGCAGAGCTCCTCTGTGGTGTGCCCTTCACCAGCTGTTTCCACGAATCTCACTTGTTTTCTGCCCTCTGACTCAGCTGCACAGGAAGGTGCCCGAGTGCACCACGTTCTCCTGCCTTCCTCCAGCCTCCCTGGCTGGAGCTTTCCTCCAAACCAGGGCACAGCTTCCCTCTGCCTGGAGAGGGGACTGATTCTGCCCCTGGGAGGGGAGCTGGGGACCAGTTTCATTTGCTCATCACTGTTTGGAGAGCTGAAGGCAGACAGCTCAAGGCGTGTGGCCAAGAGAAGCCCTCACAAGCTGTCCTCGGTGGCCTCTCCATTGAAATGTGGCCAATCACTGTGCCCAGATGTATGATCCTACCAGAAGAATTAAACCATAATAACATTTGGTAGGATTGGAGGCATTTCTGATTGGATTTTTGTGAGGATTTGGGTCTTTAAACCTGCTGGTTTAAATAATGTAGATACTGCACTCTGAAGGAATAAGATTTTTTTTTAATTGCCATGTTGAGTCTTGTCACTCCTCTGTGACAAACTCACTTGGATTTTTTTTGTTCCAATCCTCCCCAAAATGACAGAAAGCAGTTAAGGATAGATGGTGCTGCCTTCTGCCCACACTCATCTTCCTACATGCCAAAAATGAAACTTTCCCTTCTCAAAGGCAAGTGCTCGTGTCACAAAGTGAGTTCCTGTTTTTCAACCATTCAGATTTCCCCTTTTTCAGAGAGAGAGAGAGAGACACAGTCTGAAGTTGTGCAGCTTCATCTAGGCTGCTAAAGCCAGGGCTGTGCTGGGAGCTGTTTCAGGTGTCTCACAGTAAGCTGGGGAGTCAGTTCTGTCAGAGCTCACCCTGGGTTTGGTGGGGACTCTGCTGGCAGTGGGGGAGTCCTTGGTGAGCCTCTGACTTGTCAAGGAAATGCATCTTGGTTGCCATAGCACTCAGGAGCTCACTGAGGCACATGCCAACCTGCCTGCATGAGCCTTGTCACTTGAATCTGGCCTCTTGATAAAAAATTGGAGGAGTTACCAGTCTTGCAGCTGGTTCGTGCATTTCTGGGTGGGAATAATGCCATTTTTTCATTTATTATTTATCTTCTTTTCAACTGCACTAGCCATGTGTTGCAAGCCACGTGCCCAGCCCCTTCCATTCATTGTTTGGAACTGGCTAGCACAGTCAAATTGCTCCAAAAAAGCAGGAGGAAAACCAAACCAACCCCCAACCCCTGTTGTCTTTGGGATTTCTCTCTCTCTCTCCCGTGTGGCTGCCTGGAGTGTTATCTTTGTTTCAACTGGAAGTTTGCTTTGCTTATTGCTTTGCTGGATTAGGGCAAGAACAGATGATATTTGAGAGCCTCAGAGGGGGAAAGACAAAATTAAATGAGCTGAATTTTGCAGTACTTGAACACTCCTTTTAGGTGGCAGGTTTGGCAGTTAAGGTTTATTTCATGTTTCAGTAGTTACTGTAATCTTCAAAAAAAGCACAGCTCCATAAGCTTATGCTTTTTATGTTCATTTCCTCCTGTCTTTTTTTATTTTTTTCAGTTTTCCCCTGCAAAGATGAGAGGTTTCTGCTACTGTGACTGCTTGAGATCCCTTATCTCTGACTCAGGCTTGCCATGAGAGACTGGAGAAAGGTCACACTGGCTGAGAGACATCGTGCCAGCTGCTGTGCTGGAAAGGAAACAGCTTGGTAACGTCAGGGGCTTGGGGGTTTTGCCTCTGTCTGGGTTGGTTTCTCTCAATGAAATGTCACTTGTGGACTAACTGGGCTCTGCACCACTGGGATTGTCTGCCAGGAGTCACCAGGGTTGGTGGCCAAGCTGGGCAGGCAACCCAGAGAGGTGCTGTGAGACTCGTTCTGTAGGTTGAGCTCTGGTGAGTGCATAGAATGGAATCATAGAATTGTTTTGGTTGGAAGAGATCTTCAAGATCAAGTCCAACTGTTGACCCAGCACTGCCAGGTCACCACTAACCATGTCCCTCAGCACCACATCTCCATGGATTTGAAACCCCTCCAGGGATGGGGACTCCACCACTGCCCTGGGCAGGCTGGGACAGGCCCTGACAACCCTTTTTGGGGAAGAAATGTTTCCTAATCTCCAACCTAAACCTCCCCTGGTTGCGAGTTGAGGCTTCTTTCTCCTCATGCTGCAGATCCTCAGCACTGCTGGAGGGAAAGCCCAAATCACCCAAGCCTCTGCCATGGTGACTTGGTGCCCAGAGGTGTACCTGGGGCAGGTTTGCAGGGCAGCAGTTCTGCCTGTGTGCCAAAAGAGGGCAGGCACTAGACAGGCACTGTCTGATGTCACCCCAAGATCTGGAAGCCCCCAGGGTAGCCAACCCTACTCCCTGCAAGATCTCAGCTCTGGCCTGAAGAAATGAAGAGAAACTTCCTGAAAGGAAAGCAGCAATTTTGTCTTCTAGTTTCAGGCTACAGATAAATTCATCCAACTTTTTGCCT